GAACAATACATCTAGTTTGTAAGTTTTTAGCATTGTTCATCATTTTCTCATTGAGTTTTTGAATAAGCAAAACATAGTTAAAAGCCTAACTTGTCACATAACTGTTTCTATTTCCTTAGAGCCTTGAGAGGATTGTGAAGAATAAAAGGACCTGAGAGACACGGAATGAGCTCGAGGAACGAGAAATGTTGGCAACGTTCAGCTAACTGGTAATGAACTTGTTTGGTCACAATAGCTAACCTAATATCGAAACAAAGTGGCTGCTAAGTTTGATAAGGTTAGAACCGACCGTATGAGATTGGATTTGCAATATGGTATAATGCTAAGAGATTTTTGATCGGTTGTTTTCTCGGAAATAAAGAAAGGAACTTGTTCAAGTGAACCAAATATCTACCTCCTAACCTACTTTTCCTCAAATTTTTTGAACAACATTTTACCTGCTTTTCTATGATAACGTTTACTCATTTTTCTTTGAGGTTTTTTGGTGAACTGTTAAATCTTCCTTGTGCTGTATACATAAGCTTACATTGGCCATTGTTTATATTCCTGCAGAAGAACAAAGATCCAAAGGAGTAAATAATCTGCCACAAGAGAGGAGAAGGGGTTTTTAATTTAATTGCTATTAGAAATAAAGAAAGTTTTGGACTCTCAATGGCTCCTGGTGGCAGTGCTTTGAAAGAAGCCGTAGAAACTAACTCGACAGGCTTAGATTATGAGGTTAAGATGGCAAAAGTGGAGGCTAATAGCAAACCAATAAAATCAGGTAGTGGCTCCATTGGAAAATATGGGATGCATTCGAGTAACGGTGTTTATGAGCTCCTCGAATGTCTGGTTTGTACTAATCTGATGTATCCTCCAATTCATCAGGTTTGTCACTTTTCTTTCTCCGGTAGTCACTTATGTTCGTCCTGATTTGTAAAATACGGTTCATTCATTAATTTTTTTTCTTCGTTTATTTCATGGTGACGTCTGTGTTTGCTGATTCCCATAGTGTCCGAATGGCCACACATTGTGTTCAAGCTGCAAACTGAGAGTGCAGAACACATGCCCTACATGCCGCTATGAGCTTGGTAACATAAGATGCTTGGCTCTTGAGAAGGTGGCGGAATCATTGGAAGTTCCATGCCGGTACCAAAACTTAGGGTGTCATGACATTTTCCCATACTACAGCAAGCTCAAGCACGAGCAGCATTGCAGGTTTCGTTCCTACAACTGCCCTTACGCTGGCTCTGAGTGTTCAGTGACGGGTGATATTCCAACGCTTGTTGACCATCTGAAAGATGATCATAAAGTCGATATGCATGATGGTTGCACCTTCAACCATCGTTATGTGAAGTCAAATCCACATGAGGTTGAGAATGCTACATGGATGCTTACGGTAATTCCATACTTATACATTAACTTATAGCTATCTAGTCATTATTATAAAACTTAATTTTAGATTTCATCGTCCTTATCACATTCCTGTTTGTGTGTTTGTTACTTATACCTGAATTCGTATCCGACTGTTTAAAGGAGAAAGTTACAAGCTTTGCTTGCTTATATTCCGAGTACAATTTACACAAATCGGAAAAAAAAGTTCTGTTGATTTTCTCTGAGAAAGGACCTTGTGGTTTCACTACTTGAGCTGAATCTTATTTCATCTGATGCTTTTTTAGGTTTTCAACTGTTTTGGAAGACAGTTCTGCTTACACTTTGAGGCGTTCCAGCTCGGGATGGCACCAGTGTACATGGCGTTTTTACGGTTCATGGGAGACGAGAACGAGGCAAAGAAGTTCAGTTACAGCCTGGAAGTTGGAGCTCACAGCCGTAAACTGACATGGCAAGGGATTCCAAGAAGCATCAGAGACAGTCACAGGAAAGTCCGCGATAGTCAAGACGGACTCATAATCCCTAGAAACTTGGCTTTGTACTTCTCCGGCAGTGACAAAGAAGAGCTCAAGTTGCGAGTCACCGGAAGGATTTGGAAAGAAGAATAGCTGATAATGACGAAAATGTCCAAAAAAAAAAAGAGAAGATAGAAAATAAGCTCTGATGATGATTTCGATTTGAATCGAAGAAACGGATGATGTACATAACAACAGCCTTTTGAGAGTTGAGAGCTTCTTCTTCATCAAATGTGACCAAATTTTCTTCTACTGTTTTGTTCATTAGTTGAAAAATCTCCCATGATCGGTTGAAATATTCTGTTGTTTGCAATATTACAAACTCTGTCTTGTAATTTTTTTTCTGATTTGTTGGAAAGTTAAAGACAAAGGAAGACTAGTTTTGTTCTGTTCTTGGTTCAAACTTGTTTTTTTTAGGTCCGATTAGTAATCTAAACCGATACAAATTTTTCAGCTGTAAACGAGAACGGTAAGCGATTACAAAATAGTGCAAAGATGTAAAAAATAAAGTTTAATGTAACGCTTTTGGTAAAGTTTTTGATACTGTTTTTGTGATTGGTAAGTGTAAAAACGGTATACCTTGTACCGCAGAAGTACAAGTCTACCAATCATATCTTATTCTTGGATCAAAGTTGAAACTTTTCTTCATCATCTTACTCACTCACTAAAAGGAAATGTAACCTATGATTCACTTTAAGTGGTTTTTGATAGTCAAGATAATATTTTTACGTACCAAAAATGATAAATTATGAATTCAACGAAATAATGTGTTTAGAAATTTAGGAATCTGAATGACTAGAAAGAGGAGGACGTGCAAGACGTGAAGGCAAGTTTTTTGCTACGTTTGGTTAGTATATTTTAATAACAAGATTAATAAGCGAAATGTGTTTTTTTGTTTTGTTTTCCCGACTTTATCGCGGAACAAAGAAACAGAGAGACTTACAATAATTCTGAGAAAACCCAATTAAGAAAAATTAAATTTTCTTTCTTTTTTATCAAACTTCCAGATTCCCAATTTTTTTTTCTTTTCAGGCTCATTGATTTTTCGTTTTCCAGAAAATTGAACGTAATTTTTATTCAAACTTTCCACAGAAACAGAGATCCTTTTGTGGTTTTCTCAAGTATTCACTCTTCTCATCATTTTCTAGGGTTGATTCAATGGCAAAATAGAGGTAAAAATCGTTAATTTCTTCGATCCTTTTTTTTTTGTACCGCTTCTTAACAATCTTGATATTATGATCTGAGTTTTATTCTGCAAATTGTTGTTACAAATCGATTTTTCTCCGTAACCAAACGAAATTTAAAGACATTAGTATGTAGACATTAATGAACATTTTCAGATGTTATTAACAGATA